TTAGCATGATACCGGCTAGATCAAAGGTGCCTGCTAACTCATCTACTGCTCTTAGCGGAGATCAAGTAAATTTGTCCTTTGGAAGGTGTGACGGACGACGGAATGTGTGAGGAGCACATTGACTGGGTCCATTATGGAGGAATCTTCTGTTCTTTCGGAGTTGTTTTGATATTCTTGATTTTTCGTTTCAGTTTAATCAGCTGCACTTTTGGTAGCGATTCAAGAGGTTGGAACGAGTTAGGCTGTAGGAAAGATTACAGGGAACCCTGCCGGCTCCGCCTGTCGTTGACACAATGTGGAAAACATAGCTTTAGCTTAGGACAAAATAAACAAAACAAACAAAAAAATATCGGAGAAAAGTACAGAACAGATGATTCAACGTAAAGGAAGAGCACTCATGCCTCAGATTTCATTTGCAAGTACCACTGTGAAGTTATGGCGGCTTCTGTCCTTTATGTCCTCTTCAGCGTCGCGTTTAAGCTCCCCTCCTAGCCTACCTGAGAATACTCCATTCTCCCCGGCTACCCTCTTTCCTGTGACATCCTCCCCCTCTTAGTACGTACTCCCTTGGGTCCTTCCTCATGCGCAACCTTGCAATTACCCTTATGCAACACTGAGACTCGTTCTTGTGCGCCACCTTGCATTGATCCTTATGCGACACTCAGATCCCTCTTTGTGCGTATACTTGCATTCTTTCCCATGCAACCTTTCGCGTCTCTGTAAGCGCTGCTTCGTTGGCGCTTATAGATCTAGCCGGGTTGGTTCTAGTGACCAGTCCCAATCCGGGCACAGCCCGTAACACCTCATCCGTGAATACCCACCCAGGGGAACGTCTCAAAAACCCTGAGTTGTCCAGACATGCCTCCATCATCTTTCAACTTTTTTTCGCGCGAAATATGGTCTGAGGCGTCTCCTTCCCAAGTGAAGTAGGTGCCCAGGCTACTCAGACTATACCGGAGAAAACCACCAGGAGGCGGACCACAACACCTTCCATCGTTGGCTTGTGTTTATAGTGTCAGCTGCACTCTCGCAAGCGAAGTCTTGGCGCGCACAAAGTTCAATTCGTAAAACTGCTTGCCAAAATTGGGAATTTCACGCCCGTTGAGGTAATATCCTTCCTTTGCATCATCTTGTAAGCTTGCCCTAATCCCTCTCACGCCCATCCCAAAGAACAGTCTCCCAGTTTTGTGCGCCACGCTTTGCTTCCTCCTACGGTTATAAATATAGGCGTAGGCGTGTATTTGGCGACGAGCTGAGGCCAAAGAAAGTCGACAAGAGGTGTGATCATTAAGATGAGGATGTATTATGTCGTACTTGTAGACTTGATGAAGCTTAGTTGAGAATCGGACTCTTTGGGAGTAGAGATTGACATGGTGGAGTAATTTGAAATTTTGCCTCGTGGGCGAACTTCTTTGATATTGCGAAATTTGACTGAACTTGGCTCTGGGAGAATATTTCACTCCCATGTTCGTAGAGGGCACTGCGTACAGGTGTTCAGTCTTGCCCTCCGCATTGGAGGCTGCAGTAGTGGTTGCAGAAGGCTTACCGATTTACATTCTTTTGGACGACCAAGCGGCCACCCGGGCACTCGAAAGAGGAAGATCAAATTTCTCGCAGGCAGTGGTGGACAAATTTTCGTCGCTGAGACAACAAGCGTGTGGAAATATGCTGGGTACCTGGTCATGAGGGAATCCAAGGTAATGAAGCAGCCGACAAGCTGGCCAAATCAGCCTTGGGATCTACCAAAAACCGGTCACTAACCTCAGCTGCGCCCAGTGTAGAGGATCAACATCTAACTTTTGCGGCATTAGGGAGGTGGGTTAAACTGCGCAGCCAAGAGCTCGTGGAAGAGTGGTTGCAGAAGTATCGACCGAAGCGATACAAAGATCTGGACCTATTTATGCGTTGCAAAAGACCACCAGAACTAGCTTTACCAAGATGGGCGTACCATCGTCTTATTGCGGCAAGAACAGGCCACGGGGACTACGCCTACTACCATCGAAGTTTCGAATCCGAACATGAAGATCTAAATTGCGTTTGCGGCCGAGAGAAAAGGCCCTAGCATTTTTCAGAGTGCCGACCTGCTCTGCAACGTTGGAGAAGCTGTGAGAAAATGGCCCCTACTGGGGCTAGGGAAAGGAGAGCAAGACTGAACACCTGTACGCGGTGCCCTCTACGAACATGGGAGTGAAATATTCTCCCAGAGCCAAGTTCAGTCAAATTTCGCAATATCAAAGAAGTTCGCCCACGAGGCAAAATTTCAAATTACTCCACCATGTCAATCTCTACTCCCAAAGAGTCCGATTCTCAACTAAGCTTCATCAAGTCTACAAGTACGACATAATACATCCTCATCTTAATGATCACACCTCTTGTCGACTTTCTTTGGCCTCAGCTCGTCGCCAAATACACGCCTACGCCTATATTTATAACCGTAGGAGGAAGCAAAGCGTGGCGCACAAAACTGGGAGACTGTTCTTTGGGATGGGCGTGAGAGGGATTAGGGCAAGCTTACAAGATGATGCAAAGGATAGATACTGTAGGTAAAACACGAAGTAATACAAATTGGTTGCCGTCACGAAGCCGGTGAATAAAGTCAATTAACTGGTATCTCGAAATACATAAATCGTTGTCTCTCATTCTTCTTCTTCATCTCCCTTTTCTCCCTCTTGTTGAAATCTAGACATGCTAGACCAAACTACACGCAGTGCGGAGTAGACGAAGACTACTCATCTTCGATCGCTACCAGCTTTGGTGAGGTCTCGGTTGGTAATGATCTCAGTGGTGTGAATGTTATTCCATCACGTAATCAGAACATAATGTTTCTACCTAAGCGAGATAGAACATAAATAGACAATTAGATGTAGATTAGAACTAACTTTTTTAACTACCTAAATTTAAGTTAAGTAAAACCAAAACCTCACTGATCCTAACCTTTTATCTCTGATCCTTAAATCCCCAATATCTTACGATTCGTACAGTATTGACTTGACGGTCAACGTTCACTTCTATCATTCCAGATACCCCCCAGAACTTTAATACCCCTACTCCAAACGCCTCGCTAATGAGCTAAGTCAGATCCTAGTCAGTGTCCTAACAACAACCTGAATACCGCAATTAGATAGACCAATATATACCGCCCAAATATCAACCTTTTACCGACAGATACAGTCTCCACGGGCGTGGAACTTTGAATTTTGGCAAGGAGTTTTTACAAATTGAGCTTTATGCGTGCCAAGGTTTCGGTTTCTAGAGTTCAGACGACACTATAGTATCGCCATGGCTGGATGGTGCGGTGATATATCGGCTTGGCCGGTCTAACAAGTAGAGTCTGGATAGCTTGGACACATATCCCACTCGAGACAGTCGATCGCTGGTTCAAATTCGGCAAAACACAACCACATCTCTCGTTGCGCTGGCATACCTTAATGATGAAAGCATGCTTGGATAATCAAAGGATTTGAATTTCCCTTTGATGGGTACTTACGGAGGAGGGTCGACTGTTTGTGAAAACAAGCATACCTCATAGTGGTATCTGCGAATGAAATCCAGATTATGAGTGTCTCTAACGTCAAAAGAGTTATCCAACATGTATACATAGCACCGGTCATGTGTCATAGCTAGAAAGCTGAATACACATTAAATGATTTAAAAAAAAGGGGGCTAGGGAAATGATAGTGGAGAAGGGATGGGAGAGGCTCATCCGATTCTCAACTACAAGCAGATGTTACAGTCTGCCGAAGAATGGACAAGGTGGAAAGTGACAATGCTGAGATTGTTTCCAACTCAAGAGGAGATGTGTGCGTGTGTGTATTTATTGTGCTACTTGAGTCTATGACTATCTAGCACAGTGGGCTCCTCTCTGACCCAGGCCGCACCTTGTACAGCGCTCCTATCCTATTTTGTTACTTGAAAAATCATTGATATATTCCCCTTGATGAATAGCCATTCAGCTCAGTGTTTACCCGTGGATTTCGGCCACCTTTTCCACTGAACCTTCTACCCGAAAAAAAATGGTAGCATTGGAGACTGCGTGCGCGGGAAAAAGTCTCAAAAAACCTGCAGCCCCAGCCAGGCGAGGCCTAGACACCGGGACTACATGAGGTGCGCATATTCATCTATATCTCCCTTCTTTGTAACAGTCGAGGTCGACTTGATCCAATCCACCATCTCCGTTTCGGGTGCCAGGTACGCTCCGGAAACTCATCGGATGGCTTTTCCTCCATGTGTCGGAATACTCCTACGGAGTAATTTAATCACAAGCTTGTTGCAACGATATGGATGGTTCTTAGTTGATTTCTATCCTCTCTCCCAAAGAAGAGACTATGTACATAATCATTTATTATTTTCCGTTACGCCATACCCGATTAGGTAGCCCCACTAAGTTACCCTTGACATTATGAATTACATATTTAGACACCTTGATCAAGTGTTGGTGACGAAAAGGGCTTCGAATCTAACATCTTATCGCAAAAGCGATTGGGAATCCTCATCGAAGAAAGGACTTTGTTACTCAATCTCTACTCTGCAGACTCTACAATGAGAGCTGGAGGTTTGTAGGGAACATCACTGACAGGTATTGAGTTTCGTCCCCCCTAAAAATCAAGAAGATGGTCTCTAGATAGGATAAGTTGAAATCCGCGAAAATCAAGCATCTGAATATCTTAAATATCTACAACCTCATCTATTCACCTCCAAATTGCTCTCAAAGTTGGCCCACAACGCCCAAAACATACTCGTATTCATAGCCGTAAGAAATAGCCTAGAGCTGTTGTCATCCGGAAGAATTTTATCCCAGCAGGTTTATTTACCATATGTATAAACCCCTATAAAAAAACTGGCGCAAGACACTTAATAGACAGATGATCATATGATTAAATTTGACCTATAGAGCAAATTAATTCAAGGTCTTCCTTATCATTTTTTCGGGGCAGAAGTTGGTAGCCTGTCAAATGTAAATACCTAAAAAATACATAAAATTTTCTTGCATGAAATGATAGTCATACCCGTCGAACTCGTTTCCTGGAGTCAATGCTCCCTTCCTCGCTGTATCTTTTTCGACCTTCCTCTCTTACCCCTCGACTATCCCTGCGCTCTTCACCTGTTCTCAAGTCTCTTGTGCGACCCGCGCGACTAGTATCACCACCACGCCCCTTGTCGCTTAAATCCTGCTGGTCCCTTACAGGATCACGTTCTCTTCCATCGCGTCGTGCGATTCGCTCTCTAGTACGATCTCTCGCACCATGTATTAATTCTTCTCCTGGAAGCCTCGTGTTGTGCCGTGTGTCTCTTTCAGCATCTCTATCAAGAGCTCTTCTATCATTACGCTCACGGTACCCTCGTTCTTCTTCGACTACACCACGTTTTATCTCCCTTTCTCGACCAGGGCTTCTGGAGGTTCTTCGACTATGACGTCCTGAGCGATCTCGTCTACCACTACGATCTCTCTCTTTTTCCTCCATCGAGTTACTTCCAGTTATGAGGTCCACGCGCTCAACATCTACCATGGGCTCAGGTTTGAAAGGCTGTGAACTTGGCATAATTGTAGACACATTGCCTGTTGATACAATAGAAGACTCGGGTCCACTTATACCTGATGTAATTCTTCCTCGACCACGGACAACCGGGCGATCAGAATTTAATTGCTGACCAGCTTGTTGTAACATCGTATTAATTCCAGCAAGTTGACGGCGAGTGCCACGTGATGCACGTTCATTTACCGAGGCGGGTCCAGTAGGGGCTGTAAGTGAATTAGGTATAGATCCGTTTGGTCCTGGTCCACCGAGACTTGGTGGTGTTACTTTGGACCCAGAAGAAAAACTAAGGGATGATGAAGTCGGTACTTGTGGTCTTATATTGGTGACAGGAGTTAAATTGTTCTGTACAGAGGATTCACCAAAAGCTCGTAAACGGTCTGGATGAATAGATAGATTTTGATGAGTTGGGGTATGTTGGATAATCGAACTACCGAGTGATTTGAGCCTATCAGGGTGTATTCCAGAGATAGGAGAGAGTGTTGATGGCGTTACGGGTAGAGGGACGGAAGCTGCAGCTGTAATATCAAGCTGGTCGCTTGAATCACTCCGTCTAGGATTACGAATTCCGGAAGGGCCAGTTGGAGGCTGTCGATCAGGAGAGGGTAAACGGGCTGGCTCTCCAGGAATTTTGGTATCTTGTCTGGAAGTATTGCCGGTACGGCTAGCTCGGAGACTCCAAGCATCACGTGGTCCTGATGGTATATCTGGTGATGGTGGTGCCGGATTGAGGCGACCAAAGTTGGGATCTGCTTGTTGTCTCACGATCAAATTTAGTCTAGATTGATCAGGCGGCAAAAAATTTGCCAAGGGCGATGGCGGAGGAAAGATTGGCCTATCACTATTATTAGGACGGTCCCGATCTGTTGGCCTATCGCTTCTAGGCCCTGCAGGGGGTGGTGGACATTCTTCGTTTCGTATCCGTGAACTGTTATATGTTTCAGAAGGAGTAGCTCGCGCAGACCTATCTTCCCATCTTGTCTCATAGTTTTTCTCAACTGCATGCCTTCTAGGGGACTTAGATCTAGATGTCAATTTTTCTGCTTCATCCCTTCCTCGCCTGGGAGAGATGTGTGGATTATCCTTATCACCAGATATAAGAGCGGCTCTCTCGGGATTTATCAGCTCTTGTCTTTCAGTGTTGAGAACTCTATCAGAACTTGTTATCATTCCATGTTCCATGGTGGGAATGGATATTCTTGTTGGTGGTGCTTCCCGGGACTGTCGACCTACTTCAGGACGCGAATTATTAGGTTTCTCGAAATTGTCACGTAAAGATTCTGCCCATCTTGAATGTTCAGGTCTCGCTCGATCACGGTCAGAGACTAGACGATCTAATCTAATAAATTCCCTTGAGGTTGGTTCTATGTTGCGTCGCTCACCAGAAAATTCTCGTGGTCTTTCTATTGGCCTGTTTGGTCGCTCTAAAATTCTTTGATCAGGATTCCGAGTGTCTCTAATCTCCCTTCGATCACCATGGCGAGATGGATGTCTCTCTAGCAAGTCTCGTGTAGGAAAAGGTGCATCAGGACGATTTGGAAGGAATGAATTTGTACGTTCAAGGATAGAGCTTCGGAGGGGATCTGATCGTAAAGGTACCAACGGAGGGCTGGACTGAGTAGATACTTTTGCGGCATTCTCACGTTTGATTTGCTCTCTTCGATCAAGGATCTCAGACTTCTTGGACTCCATTGTGGCAGGTACAGAAGCTCCCATCATTTCGGTGTCTGGAGGTGCTGGATGAAAAGTAGCTGCTTTTGGATGTGCCGTAATCCTGGAGTCGTCAACTTCGCCGTCCTCAACTTCGACCGTTGTTTTCGAAGCTGAAATGCCAGTGGAACTACAGTTTATTAACTTCAAATTTAGGTCACAAAGGGAAATCTACCTGGCCCTAGAGATTGGTATGAATTCAGCAGCGTTGGGCTTGAGATTTGATTTATCGCTTGTCAAAGCTGGAGAAATGCTAGTACCGTTTGTCTGAGATGAACTAACCTATAGGTTATAAGTAGGTGAATCTTGGATATTTATAGGACATACTAGATTATTCCCGTAAGCCTGAACCATAACCCAACGTTTCGATCTTTTTTTGAGTTGTACCAAAGTAGCGTTAGAAGTCAGCGATAGATCTTCTCTCACTTTAAGCTCACGCTTAGCAATAGTTTCTAGTTGTTTAATGAAAGAATTCCCCATAAAGTCTACAGCGGGGAAAACTTCAACAACTGACTTAAGAATTGTAATCGCGTTTCGTATGTGCATCCATTCAGTCCCATCAAGACAGTCGCGGAGTGCTGTATTTAATGTTTTCTGCCATCCAAAGCATACATGTTTGAACCCTGGATTACCGTCATGCTCGAGTAAAGCTTTGGGTTTCCCGTCGGCGTCCAACGACTTCGCAAATCCCGGGTGATTTTTCGCCGATCCCCACGCCTCCTTTTCGTAAACGGTCGAGTCAGCATGCCATCGAGCAAGGTCTGTGAGCAACAGTCGAAGAAATCTCCCCAGATTTTCAGCTTCTCGTATTGTGCAGGAAAATATTAACGATCGAAGACGATTAGTTCTGAATATCCTGCCATAGAGGGAAAGAGTTCGAAAATGCGGTACACAATTGTCGTGCAACAATTTGATGAGCTTGAAGCAGTAATCTGCATCACTAGGTGATAGTAATAGACGAGGAATTATGCACTTTTCGAGAAGAAAATCACTCATCTCGTCGGCCTTGACAGACGAGTTGAACCAGAGCGCTTTGGGTTTCAGAAAGCGTGCCTTCTTATGTGGGTAGCTATATACAGCTTTTGCGAACTCTTTTAGGACTGCTTCTCGTGCAACGTTGAGAGTTTTCTTTACCTCTTCTTTTCGTGCCATACCTTGACGTGTCATATCAGACCTGTCTTTACCTATCTCTGCAGCCTGGTTGAGAAGTTCTTGAACTTTACTTTCATAGCTTGCGCTAGGAATTGAAAAATCGCCCAGTGTGGATATCCAGAATGTAACGTAGAATTCAGGCGTAACTCCTCGAAATAGGTGCTCAGGAATAATCATTTTGACAGAGGTTAGTATTGGCTCTAGAATCCCCTGCATTAAATCTGACGGCAGGACCACCTCTTCTGGCAGGGGTGACTCTGCAGCAAGTGCCTCTTTTACTTCATCCATTTTAACATCTTCTGTTGTAGTTTCATTGTTAGGAGCTGACGTCTTCTGAGCATGTAGATCTCCATTCATCATACCAACGTCACCATCCGAATCTGCTAGACTTGGTATAGGTTCCTTCGAAGATATAGATTCCGAATTTATACTTGTCTTGGTGAAAGGAATTCTCGAAATTCGATAAGCGACACTTCCGCGGCCGATCATGAATGCGAGTGCAGGCTCTAGGCCAAATTCCTTTAACAGCTGCGGGATATCAGGAACTTGCTTGTCAAATTCCTCATTAGTTAGGTTACATCGAAGAAGATCAAGGTATTGGAACATGATGGACTGCGTATCATCAATCATGGTGGCTAAAAGCTTTATATGAGCTTTATCTTCTGGAATCTTGTATATGGCAGACTGGCGATGCTGTGCAATCTGAATTAGTAGCTCTCCTGAAATATTTGTTTCTGTCAAGGACCTCATAAGTCTTTTCGCAGTTTTAGTTGATTCAAAACGTTTGTCTTGTAAGGAGATAAGCGTTTGACGTCGAAGTGCCTCCCCACCAGTCATAGCAACCAGCTGTGCGTCTGTGTAGTCTGTATCTGGGACGATCCCAGCCATCTGGGATATAAGCTCCTTCAAAATGACAAGATCGGTGGCATTTCCTCTAAAGAGTTGATCATTGACGTATTGAATAATAGGCAGCAAATTCATAATTCCATATCTCCTGTAAACCTTCCCAGCGAAGCTTGAGAGTGCCAGTAGCCATCGGCTAGGTAAAAGTGCATACTCGGCATTAGTTCGATCCCTACTCTTTCCACCAAGGGAGCTCAAAAGTGACCAGACCAACACATCATATCCTAGATCAGTAAAGTATTTGGTACATTCTACTACAACCTCTGTCAAATTGGTATAAGCCTCAATTTGGTTAAGAGCAATTTTAAAGACAATCCCCGGACAGGCATATCCTGTTTTTGCCAAAGATTTAGCCATTTGCGTTAAGTTTGTGAGGCTTATCCTTTTCATGATACTCTGAGTTTCGAGTTTTGCTCGGGCAAAAGATGTCCTAATTGCTGGAATTCGTGATGTCTGGCCTTCAAACCATTCTGCATAAATTGAAAACCGGATTGGTAGTGGGTAGAATCTTAGCATATCGTAGATTTCGTTTCCAAGACTGGTATTTGCCTTTGTTAAACTCAAAGCAGGAACTAGGAGACGCTTTAGGAGATCCTGCCAACGATCAAGGTTGTTTTGTGACGAGTCTTCTGCAAGGCTTTTCGTGCCGATTCTTGCAAGTTTGGATAAAAGGGCTGCATCCTTCCCTATATTGACGCCAGAGATGTTGAGAAAGGTACCACATAATGTGAATATATCGTCGACAGTTTGGCAAACAGGTATATTATCATTCCATTCATCCCAATAAAAGCGATAGGCAAGGTTTTCGTTGGTATCAAATTTATCAGGAAATGGCCATCGTAACTGTTTTCGTCGTGGTAATGTACTAACTTTTAGTTCCCCTTTTGGCATACCAGTCTGATCGAAGTCTGGGACTTTCTTTGAGGGACATTCGCTCTCTTTAAAACCGATAGGTCGACTTGCTTCATAGACCTCAGAAATAGAATAATTTAAGATACGATTTATCAGCTCAATTAGTTCAGGGTAGGCTTCAGGAAGCCATGGAAATCGACCAAGAATAAACAATGCCTCTGGAATTGCTCCTATTGTTAATAAACAAACTAGTAACAAGACCTTCTGGTCTGTAGGCTCGTCGAGCGTATCTTTGTCTTCGCAATCGGTCACCGAATGAACTACTTCGATTTTTGAAGTAGTTGCCTCGCGACTTCTGTTAGATGGGAGAGTGTCATCTGGGAGTGCCCCAGCCATTGTTAACGCATTCATACCTCCTCCTGGTCTGTTAAGTCGTTCTTTCTCCTCTAGTTCTTTTCGCTTTGCTTCCCTGACAGCTGGCATGGCTTCGTCAGATGGCCATAAATGCGGATATAAGTCTCCCAAGGAAATGAACCCAATCTTGATAAGAAGAGCCGTTAGATACATGAGGTTAGGCGGAAGGACGTCTTCTCTATCGCGGGCATCGGAAGTATAAAATCGCAACTTGAATCCAAGTAGCTGAGCTGCCACATAGTTTCCAGGTGGAGGAACAGTTCCCGTGAGTGCCATCCACTCTTCATCGGGCTCAAGGATTTTTCCAGCTAGTCTTTGAGCAGTAAGTCGGTTTTTGGTCTCATCGTCAACTGTTCGCATTCCTCGAAGTTCGAAAAATGCATCAAGTCCAATCTCATGGGCTCTAGCCCAAAAATTTTTATCCCTTTTTCTCTTAAAATTTCTTGAAGCTTGCTCATCTTCTTCAGTTGGCATAAAGCCGACAGAGGAGGGTAGACACCACTTTGGAAGTCCATCACAAGATTCTGTCATTAATGTTTCCATCTGTGAATTTCTTGGCCACCATGAGCTGACGCGTAAGAGCTTGATAAAGAATCGATAGTGCTTTATTAAAATGGAGGCAAAGATATCGAGTGTGATGTCTAGAACACGGCCAACATCTAGGTCAAATGTGCCAATCAAAGCCTTCATTCTTTCGAATGCGTCCTCAACAGCCTCGCTTGATGGTCGTTCATTTTCACTTGTGGTGAAAAGCTCTGCAACAAGTTTTGCATATCCTTCAGTTTCTTCACGAAGCAAGTTATAATTTGCTTGTCGATATAGGAGATTTGTAGCTTGCCTGACGCCGACTCGGCCAAAAGTTTCGCGAGTAAGGCCAAGATCTTGAAGAAGCTTTCCATCAAGTTTCTGCCGCATTGTGACAGGTGAGATTCCGGTACTGACCGAAAATATTCGAAGAAAAGGAATTTTGAGATTCTCTTCAGCCTCACATACCATGGATAGAATATCGAGGAAAAAGTTACGTGCATCAAAAGCTAAGCTTGGATCATCAGAGGTATCTGGCCCTAATATATCTTGTACACAGCTACCAGCTACATCTGGGTCAAGTCGTCCATTAAGTGTTGCTCTGGTAAGTTCCTGAAATATACTTCCAAGGTCTGTGGTATCCTCATCTTGACGAGCTTGGATACCAAGTGTTACTACTGCTTCGCGTCCAGAATATTCCCATTTTCCTAAGCGCTCATCAGTGATAAAAGAAAAGTCGTATGGTGCTAGGTTAGATTTCGGTACAACTAATAGGTCGGTAATACTTGCTGGTGTTTGAGTTGGTGTCGGAGCTGGTGTTTGATTTGCACTTAATGGTCGCTGAGGTGGTGACATTGGACCTGGAGTTGGAGTCGCTCTGTTCTTTATATTAATTTGATAAGAGTGATCCCAGTTATCATTTCTACGACCGCCCCTTCCTCCGTAGCTATTTTGTCCTCCACGATTCGACCTCCTGATGTTATCTCTCATTTCGTGAAGCCCAGCGTTGTTATTTTGTGGACGAAGAGGAGATGGCCTACTATCGCTGGTATCCAAAGATTGTCGATCACCTCTCTTCCTTTTAGCCGGTGCCATAATAGTAATTTGTAGTTGTCGGATGATTTAAAGACAGCCTACCGACGCCACGCGAAGAGCGTGATGACCGCGTGAGTAAAGGCTTATAATTAGACAGTGTTGACTTGAAGTGTCCCATGAGAATATGAATCCTAATTTCAGCGGGTACTATTTCGTTACTGTTGAGTGGACTTGACTGATGCTGAGTGTTGAAAGGAATTACCAACATCTATGCTTCCACCGCCTCGCGAATTAGCTTCAGAAGGTAGATGCTTGACGTTTGATCACGTGCATTACGAGTACAATACTTTGTCAACCCAAGTTAATATCTAATACTCAATTTTCCTTTGCTAATCATTCGAATTGCAAAGATATTTATTTAGGGAATAAATGACAATTTCTGTGAGATTAGATATTAACCAATCTTCAATTTTGCAGGTCTTTCATCTTCGGGACTAGGCCCTCGCTTGACTATTCCGTTCGTATTTACGTGGTGAAATAACTACGTGACATAGTAGCGCAACACATAAAACTGGGGAATACAATCTGCCAGACATGGCTTTCTCCAGATTTCTGATAAAAACAGTACTTGCGTTATGTATCGCATGTACAGCCACTGGTACAAGTACCGTAAGTCAATATGAAGGTTAAGTCAAATTATCAGTAAAATTAACCACTATTGCAGGTCCTAGATCAGTCCCAGACTCCACAAGCAGAGTTCGATCTTTCTGTATCTATAACAACATCTTTTCCATCTTCTGAGTTGTTTGGTGTACAAATATTCAACGGGCTGAAAACTGTCGCGCTACTTGATCTCATGAACAACGAAGCAGACAAGATTACTTTAAAAATGGTCAAGGGTTCACTAAGTAACATTCAAAGAGATCCCAAGGTTTCAAAAGCAGGGACTGATATATCTCGAAATCTGACTTCTGCTCGTTATGATGTAGCCATTCCAGCTGGCCAAAATCAAAGCATTCCATTCACCTTTACAACAGACCTTCTACCGCAAGATTTTAATCTGAGCCTAATAGCCATAGTCATAAATGATGAAGGGAAGGAATACCAGGTTCCAGCATATAATGGGACAGTCTCTGTTGTTGATCCAGCAACCAGCATACTTGATCCCAAAGTGTAAGCTCCGAAGATACAATTGAAGTCAGTCTAACAATAAATAGCATGTTTCTCAACTTGTTCTTCACAATCTTCTCCGGGCTCATATTGTATTGGGTCTATAAACATTGGATTGAACATCTGATTCCAGTAACGAAGCGAGGAGGTAAAGGAATGGATAGATTTAAGCGCTCTACTCAGGCACCTAAAGCTGAAGCAATCTCAGAAAAGCTTCTTTCGACTATTTCAAATGCAAAGTCTGTTGATTTACCGAATACCTCCGCTTGGAAATCATATGATGAGAGCTGGATTCCGGACCACCATATTAAAAAGCCAACACCCAAACGTAGCAAGAACGGGTTATCTAAGAAGTAGCCTGTTATCTAACTCTAGTTCGAAGATACCCTGAGGCAAACTTTGATAGCACACGACAATAATAATGTAATACTATACTATTACAAAAACATCGAACATCAGTGATAAAAATAAGCTGTTTGATAAATGTTTTGAGTTCTGTAATTAACCGTGGCAAATGCTACATTCACCCAATTTCAGATTTGTGATTGTTTCTAACGAATTACAGCAAGACAGTTTCAAAAGTCAAAAGAGTCTTCTCATAATGCCCTAATGAAATTATCATGCATCATGTTTAGGCGATTCTCCACCTTGAAAACAAATTCGTTGAATTTTACGGATACCTCATTGTTAACCTAGTAGTATACATTCAAAAAGATAATTGTAACACGTGCAGCTATGAGCCATGATCAATACAATAGGGTTTTGGAATAAAATATCAACCGATGTAGAATAGAATAGAAAAGAGTTTGATTGAAGTTCAAATAGAGTCTATGACCATGAAGGACTGCTAAAAAGCTGCCGAAGTGCCAATGAACATTTGTTACAAGTTAGAATATTTATTTGTTTATTTTTTTTGTATGACGGGCACTAGTTACAGCTAACGCCCTATCCTTGAAGGGACATAGTGTTAGAAGTTGAGATAATTGGGGTTATCAACAAGGCCATGTCCCGGCCTCTTCAAACGCTTCAGAAGGAACACTATGTTTTCGGGTTTAGTCCTAATATTGGTATTAGGAGAGCTCCGCCCCAGTAGTTTTTGCGATTGTTCCCGGCTTCCATACACCCGCAAATGGCCATCGTTCCGTTTGCTGAAGAGGGGAGATAATGATGGGCAAAGGGCTCATCTAGGTGTACGATCAAATGGGGAACTGTAAGGGTGGTACTGTTTGAGGGGAGTTGTATCGAAGGAATAGGTGGGGATATACTACTGGTATAGGTATCCTTGGCCTGTAGACATTAGAGATCTGCATGTCCTACATTGTCATTGACTCAGATAGGACAGTAAAATTTTTTAAAAAAAAAGAGGATTAGATTTACTCTTTTTTTTTAAAAATCATATGATGTGTATTCAGCTATCTATCTATAACACATGACCGATGCTATGTATACATGTTGGATAACTCTTTTGACGTTAGAGACACTCATAATCTGGATTTCATTCGCAAATACCACTATGAGGTATGCTTGTTTTCACAAACAGTCGACCCTCCTCCGTAAGTACCCATCAAAGGGAATTTAAAAACCTTTGATTATCCAAGCATATCTTCGTCATCCATGCATATCAGCGCCGCGAGAAATGTGGTTGTGTTTTGCCGGATTTAAACCAGCGATATTAGATTTACTCGTTCCTGCACAATAAGGACGCTGACATAAATCTCTGGAGGTCCCATATCTGTTAGAAGTCGGGAAAATTGGGGCTATCAAGTGGGCCACGTTGTCGATACACACGTGACTACACATTCTGTATGTGTGTTTTTATTGTGCTACTTGAGTCTATGACTATCTAGCCGGATTGGCGTCTTTTGTCTCAGTAGGGACTTAATAGGGTTACTCGCTTGACGCGTGATCCGCCAGACGTTAAATAAAGATAAATAAAAATGACTATCTAGCACATTGGGCTCCTCTCTGGCCCAAGCCACACCTTGTACAGTGTTGCTATCCTCTTTTGTTACTTGAAAGATCATTGATATATTCCCCTTGATGAATAGCCATTCAGCTCAGTTTTTACCCGTGGAATTCAGCCACCTTTTCTACACATTCTGTACATGGTTTCACTTCGGTAGTTACTTGAATAAACGCGCTATACAACCTCAATGACTGAAGGGTCATTATTTCCTTAATATTATTCACCATTTTGAGAGCATCATGCAGGTGTTTTTGCAAATTCGAAAACCAGCCTCGTGACCGACAAGTAGAGAGTGTTTTAACTTAGTTATGAGCAGATATGGAGTGGTTGTTGTTGTTGTATTTTTAAAGTCCTGAGCTAAAGTAAAAAGCTCTACATCCTACTATTGGTACAGGACCAGTGGAGCCGGTAAGGATCACTGTATACAGGCTCAACTCATTCCAACCGCGTGAACTTCCACATAAATGGTGGTGTTAACAGCAAAACTATAATCAAAAACAAAAATCAAATTTAGAAGAAATCCCTGTAGGCCCGGATCCCGCGCTTCTTGCCCGTTCCCTTTCCTGTCACATCTTCCAAGTGACAATTTCTGATCTTCGCTGAGAGCAGAAGATGAGCTCGCAGGCACCCTTTTTCCATCTGGTGTCCTACTGTTAGTGTGTTGAAGCCTCGACAACTTTACTGAGACTGGCCGTAACCTTAAACCTCCTCTTCGGATCCTAGAATCCCAAACCCCGATCCGTCTAACATATAGACATCGTTCTTTGCGCCGTGAATCGCCTGAATGGCTATTTCGGCTGCAGCTCCAGTGCGAGTAAAATCTGCGTGATTTTTCTGCTCGACCTTGCGAATCATCGCAAGCTGCTCTTTTTTCAACGGGCCGAACTTGCTGGGTCTGGCTTTGCAGTACCGCGAGTCCGATCGATAAGGTCCCCCACAGTTTCGACACCGTGTGGGGGCTTTGCACTCCGTTTCAGAATGCATTTTTGATCCGCAGTTCCAGCAAGCCGGAGCGCGGGAGCAACCGCGTGAGGCATGGAAGCCAAGACTTCGATTGCACTGAACTATTTTTCGATGAGGTTGGAAGAGCTTTGTAGCTCCGGAGTCATCGAAGAGGCGAAATCCAGGTCGGGGCGTGGATTCGCGAGGGAAGAGCGCTTGCCAGTTCTGGTATGGCACCCCAGGTTTGCAGGTCTCATGAGGACTAACAAGAAAAGGAGCTGATTTGGTCACTCGCGTGACTTCGTCGACGACCATCTTTTCCGTGATGAAAACGGAACCTGTGAGTGTATTAATTCTCAGCAGGACGGTGGAAATTAGTAGGGCAACCAGATTTGACGCTGGTTCCAATTTAATTCCTGATTCTCACCGTTCTATGGAGGAATCAAGGAGCTCTTTTCGAGCGAGTTCTGTTGGAAAACATACTCTGTACGATATTATATGGATAAATATGATGAAGTAAAGAAGACTTAATGTTTTACAACTATGGAGACATTGAACTTATATATACATCTAAGGGGAGAAATTCACACTAGTCTCGTGTGCCTGTCAAACCTAGTGATGACCAGCCACGTCTCATCTACCATGATGAGCCAATGTACACCGTAGTATATAAATATCCAAACGTATAGGCGACAGTAGGCGCGATTAGCGTACTCGGGACATGTGTAGAGAGAGTTGATCTTGTCGGGAACCTGAGATGAAACAGGTAGTGGTTGAGTCCTAAATTCGAGGGTCAGAATTTCCAACAAGCTCATCCTTTGCTGTTAGAGCAAAGCCTGTTTTGACCCGCTGGAACAACTTGATGTTGTTGGCTGCGGTACCGAGTGGCTCTGAGACGGCTGATCTTACGCCAGCTGGTGCAAGGAGTCGGTGGGGATGGTCGTAATCGAGGCGTAAAAACAGTCGCGTATCGACCGCTGTCCTCGTATTGGCCCCCTTTGCTTTTGGAGCGGGCGGGGCTGCCTTTTTTGTTGATGGCCCAATGCTGTGACCAAGGCCTGCTCGGGCTACATTCGCCCAAGTTTTCTTTTGGGCCGGAGCCTGGGTTGTCGAAGGGTTAGGTACCCTAATTTCATGAGCCCTCGGCGGAGGAGGGATGCTGGGGCGCACAGGAAGAGCTGGTGGAGTGCTCCCTGGGCCTGATTGTATGAACTGGCCAATGGCCGCTCGAAGGTAGACTTTGATACCGTCTACAAACTCTTTTTCGTCGCCAATCGAGAGAGGCGAAAGTGCTGCTTCAACACTGCTTATTGCAGTGGAACAGATTGATAGACGTGCTTTTATTTGCGTCGTGCGACGCTTCTCGGCTTCAATCACTGATTGCAGCTCCGGAGGATATTCCGGTGCTGATGTCGAAGCTGTGCCTTTTGGAGCTGGCACAGTGAATTTTCTTGCAGAGGTTTCTGCTTGTTCTGTCGTCTTCTCTCGGACGACTTCCTTTCCATTCCTTGAAGTGCTTGCCTCTGGGGCAAGCTCGGGTGGTATCTGCAAACGAAATCTGAGTGTAAGCATTCTAAAGATCGAATTTAATCATTCTACTTAACGTATTTATCTTCCGATGAAAACTGCCTGAGTATCAAGGCGCCAAATCAGGCCAGTTGAATAATCTGTTTTTGTTGGAATTTAGAATAATTAGGACTATCAAGTAGGCCATGTAGTCGATATACAAATAAATAATTCATTATCCTTATTTAGCAGCTTGAGGACCATGTAGGTATTTATCGGAAGATAAATATTTTGAGTAGAATGATTTAATTTGACCTCTAGAACGCTCACACTCAGATTTCGTTTGCAGATACCACTCGAGGTTGACCCTTACGGCGTATAACCTCTTCCGTACATACCTACCACAGGAAAAAACGTGAAAAATCTGTGGCTATTCGAGTGTGCTTTCATCATCTCACAAGTACAATATCACCGCGAGAGTGAGTGGTGTGTCAGTTTTACGGGATTCGAACCAACTTTCTCCTGTTTCAAATGGGGTAGGTATTCGAGCTACACAGAAGCTACTTGGGAGATAGGCCCGCATGGTGTACCACTGCACCATCATACACTAGGAATGATATATATGTGTCAGCGGATGCATATTCAAGTATAGTCAGCTCTAGTTATGCAGTCATGTAATATAAAAGGACTGGGAGTTATGCAGGCATCCAAGGTGATCCGTGCACACATACACATAAGAAGGGCGGTCTTTCTGGTTGAACCTAGATAGAGAACCTTAGTGATTTAGTTGTAATACAAGATTGAGCCAATAACGTTTACAATACGTATATAATCCGCAACAATAATACAGTTCATCTTAATGTAACCGGAGTAACACATTCTGTACTGCGTTGCGTTGAGACCTAATGTATACAATATTAGTACGGGATAAATAACGTATGGG